ATCCTTAAGGTGTTTATAGCCGAAATTTTTAAATGGCTTTTCTGCTACATTTTTCAGTACTGGACTGGCTTTCTTCCATTGGTAAAAAGCTGTAAAAAGTTAACAAATAATCATCATCCAGGGAAAAGAAAGTTATTCTTTGTTTCCCTGGTAGCACAGTGGTTAAGAATCCGCCTGCCAATGCAGGGGACACGGGTTCGATCCCTGGTCCGGGAAGATCCCACATGCTGCAGAGCAACTAAGCCTGTGTTCCACAACTACTGAGCCCGCGAACCACGACTACCGAAGCCCGTGCGCCTAGAGCCCGTGCTCCCCAACAAGAGAAGCCACCACAATGAGATGCCCGCACACCACAATGAAGAGTAGCCCCTGCTCACCGCACCTAGAGAAAGTCCACGCACAGCAACGAAGACGCAACGCAGCCAAAAATAAATAAATAAACTTATATTTTTTTAAGGGTTGGGGGTGAGGAGAGAGAGGGAAATTCAGGCTTCGTGAATTTCCTGGGATCTGCAGAGTTATCTTTTTCTGGTTAAAGAAAGGCTAGACCTCTAACCAAACTCAGTGTACTCTCCCTCAAAGTCATAGTTGGGTATACATTATTTCTTAATCACAGAATAGTCAAAAAAAATTCTTCTATCACTATGTAGTAACTCCCAGCTCCTTCTACACTTCTTTAATAAGTGTCTTTCTTATTTCTCTGGTGATTTGAACTAATCAGAACAGTGTTCATGTGAGCTGTAGAGCTATATCAGGGAGGACCAAGTAGATAAAGTAGATTATCAGGAATAATCCAACCCAGGGACTGTCTGGGTGAAAAGGACATTATACTCTCCCCAAGGCCCTAAGGAAATGGTGACAGGAGGAAGGGGGAAATCTGGGTTCCAGACATGCAAATCAAAGACTAGGAGTTTCAGTGACAAAATATTTATGGCAAGAACCCAAGAAGATGCCAGCAGGAAATGAGAAAAACACAGAAGAGGGATGGGAAAGAGACAGAAAGCAAACAGGTTTACACTTTTGCCCTGAAGGACCTCTATTAGGAATTAGGATTCTCCATCTTCCCTCGTGAAATATATGAATGAAGAAGAAACAGGGATTCAGCACTTTTTTTTTTTAACATAAGCATTAAACACCTACTCTGTGCCCATTACTATCCTGGGAGTCATGAGATGTTCAAAAGAAACATCAACCTGGGTCCTTGCCCTTGAGGAATGTGTTACTCTCCTTTGGGGAAGCAAAACTATGCACACATGAGAGAGTGAGGGAACACTGTGAGGTGGCATTGGATTCCAGTCAGGTCCTCCAGTTGGGAGACACACACATATATAGCATGACAGAGAAGAGAGGTGTGATTTCCTGAAAACATGGCTTTTATCAAGTCATTCAGCCCATTGCCTTTCATATCAGGTCCTAGATCTCCTTCCTGACATTCAAGACCCTACTTGATCCATGCAGATATATGTATCCTCACTGTCTGCAGACAACCTACCCTCCTTCCACTGTGCTCATAACTGCCTCTGCAGCTTCCCTCTGCTGCTCTTTCTGCCCAGATCATCAGTCTGAAGGTATATCCGATGCCCTGTCTCTGTCCACTGATCTATATTTGACCCAGCAGTTATTGCACAGCAGAAACATGAGCCTTTTGGAGCTCACAGATTGAGCTATGAGGTGCTTTCCAAATACTTGGCCCTTACATGGAGAAGAGATGTCACATGTGTGTGCATGGCAGCACAGGGAGGCTGGTCTTCACTTTTGGAAATACCTTTTTTCATGTGTCTGGAATCTGGAAATGTTCTACTGTTCTAAAGACTTAAGTGCCTGAAGACTGACACTTATAGCCTACTTCAAAGCAGAAGAAAATAAAATTCTAGTTTAAGAAGCATTGGTATTCCTTCACCTCACACTTTCTTAAACATTTAGCCAACATGACATGAAATCTTTACCTTTAAAAAAAAAAAAGGGGGGGCTTCCCTGGTGGCGCAGTGGTTGAGAGTCCGCCTGCCGATGCAGGGGACACGGGTTCGTGCCCCGGTCCGGGAAGATACCACATGCCGCGGAGCGGCTGGGCCCTTGAGCCATGGCCACTGAGCCTGCGCGTCCGGAGCCTGTGCTCCGCAACGGGAGAGGCCACAACAGTGAGAGGCCCGCATACCACACACACAAAAAAAGAAAGACTTTTGAGTGGAAAATGACGTAACATTTTTCCCCAAGCAAGACTACTTTACGTTTTCTAGAATTTGATGCACACGTAAAATAGGAACCCAGAAACATATTTTAAAATAGTCCTATAAATAAATAAACAGTTCTGTCTGAAAGAAATATAAAGTGAGCTACATGTGCAATTCAAAAATTTCTAGTAGTCACATTTTTAAAAGTAAAAGCAAACAAGTAAAATGTTTATATTTTATTTAACTCAATATACCCCAAATATTATCATTTCAACATGTAATCAATATAAAAATTATGAATGATACGATTTACATGAGTGGTTGTACTAAGTCTGAAATCGTGTGTGTATTTTGTAGCTCATCTCCCCTCAGACTAGCTGCCTATGGCTGCTGGCTCGTGTTTCAGGGAGTGTAATGTTAGAACAAGAAGAGGGTTGTTACTTCATCCCACCCAATTCCTTGTTGTGACAACGAGCCTGGGTTCAGGAGGGTTTGGTGCTTTGTTCAAGATCACATATCAGTCCCCTGGGCTGGGCTCATCTACACTCGCACTCGCCTCCCATGCAGGTTCATGGGTGATGCAAACAGCCTTCTTGGAATGAAACACAGAGTTTTTAAGTATTCTTAAAAGCCACCACCCTCTAAAACCTTTGGACCCCCCAAAAGTATTTAAAAAAATAAAATTTCAGGAGAAAATAGCCCAGTGTACCCTATTTTAATACTTAGACATGACAACCCTGCAGGCCATTTGTTAATACCTGTCTCACAGCCTACCTGTTTTCTGCTCAGCTGTATCTGCACCTGCAGGGGACCCAGAGAGAGAGGGGTGGAGGCTCAGAGGGCAGTCACTGCTGTGTGTGCCTGTCCTCTAAGGATGAGTGGGAGGGGCGTTGCTCCATCCTCTATCCTCTGTCCCGCCCACATCAGCTACTGCTGGCATCCTAAGGAGCCGTGTTGTTTTCCATGATTAATCTCAAAGACCTTGAAATAACTGGGTGACCTTTTGTCTTCCACTCTGCACATTTTGCAGTGCTTTATATTCGGAACCAAGCCAAAGGTGAATGCAGGGGAAATGACCATTTCAGAAACAGAAAATGAAACCAATAAGAAGACAGCATCATTTCCAATAATGAGGACATTTGGGTCTAAACTGAATAATGAGGGCATCTTTGCATCTGGATTGATGAGAAAGCAATTAGATCCTTCATTACCAAAAGCGACATAAATCTTTGATTTGCATTTTGTTTTCAATTTGGACAGAATGGGCATGGTTCTCTAAGGATATAATCTAGACCTCTTTGTGCCAAAATACTGAGGTCAAAGTGATGATAAATCTTATGGCAGTGAGCTCTGTGAGTCATATTTCAATCTGCCAAAAATAAATAAATAAATAAGCCATCTTGGAGATGAGGTTTGGGGGCTATGCTGAGATGCCCAGATGCCATGCTCAGACTTTAACAGAAAAAGCATTTTGTCTGATTTTTTATTATTGAGGTCTCTTCCCCAACATCATGCAGCCTATTTCTGGATCCCCTGGAGTACAAATAAGATAAAAGGGGAAGGAGGGAAATCAGCAGAGAGAAAAATGAGTGCCTATTTCTGTGAATCTGGTCACAAAGCAAAGTCAAGAATGGGCCAAACGTGTGTGTGTGTGTGTGTGTGTGTGTGTGTGTGTGTGTGTGTGTGTGTGTGAAAATAGGTAGGTGTGCTTGTTTGTCCTTCCAGATGCCCCCTCTACCCTTCTCTACTGCTCAATTCCCTAAGAGGCCACCAAAATGTATTGCGTTAAGGGACTCCTTTGCACCTGGCATCCCGTTAGGTTCGGCTGACAGGGTCACTGGCAAAAGATTGGAAGGTGGAAAGAGCATGAGGTTGGGGTATTTATTCAGCCAGCTGCCCCCTATAGGGTCTCTGTAGGCCGGCTGCTTCCCTTAAGATCACAGCTTCTGTGGCACAGTCTTTGCTACACAACTCTCAGTCATCCGTTCTGCCACTCAGGCCTGGGCTTGGTAATGGCACCCCTGTTATCAGCTCCCAGGCAGGCACTATCCTTGTTTCTTTGCACCCGACCTACCCTTTTGTAAGTAGTCCCTTTATTAACTATCCTCCAAATACCTAATTTGAGCTTATCCACTATTTCCTTCTGAGACCTTGATTGATAAAGGAGGTATGCATACATTCCTTGCTCCAGAAAAAACTGTCTTCCCTCTGTTAGCACAAAATGCCTTTAGTTTTTCTATTGTCCATAATTTTAGGTTGGTTCCCCAGAACTAGACCCTGAGATGAGGATTTGTGTGCATGAGTTTTATTAAAGAAATGCTCCAGCAGAAACCCGTAGGGGAGGGTGGTGGAGGAGGGGGAGGGGGAGGGGGAAGACACGGAGAGCAGAAGAGAAGAAGCCGGCCAAGGGCAAAATTTCAGGCAAAGTCCCAACCTCAGCCTAATCTTGAGTGGAGCTCTGGAGCATAAACTGCACCTCAGAGTTTGCCCTGACTTGAGTTAGAGGAGCTGGGTTTTCTATTTCCTGCACCAGTAAGTCAGGGACCCAAGGGCATCCAGGCAGAGCACCATCAATGTATACTTCACGTACATCCCTTGTAACATGAAAGTATTTAGAGAGGGGAGACACACTGTTTATAAATTGGCTTAATAATGGAGTTGTTGGTGGAGAAGAAAGCATTGCCTCCAGATACCAAAAAAGCTCACAGCAGATGCTAAAGGGACACATATTTTGAAAAAACATTGCACAAAAAACAAATAGTATTTTATTTTCATGGATTTGGATAATATACTTTAATATTAGTAAAAATCATATCAGGGCTGAAAGTCTTCTTAAAAAGCAAAGGCATCTTTGTAGGAATCTTAGCTACCAGATGCAGGTAGTAGTTCTATGGTGTGTGTGCATGTGGTTGGGAGGGGAGTATATCAACACTTGCCATTTCCTTCTGAAGCTTCTAACACTTGGAAATTTGTCATAGAAGCTTTTCTCATCTGCAGCTCAAACACTTTTTTTCAGCAGGAATTTAGCTGAAGTTGAAATCACCATCTGGCATCTCATATTGAAACAGGTCCTTTTTGTGCCAAGAACTTCTTCTCTTGGCAGTGATGCTGACTGTGATCTTTCAAAAATGTTTCTTGAGTTGGCAGTCTTGACTGAGTAGAGCAAGCAGCCTGTCTTGGAATTTAGGAAGAGATGTGCTCAGCAAGTTGTTGCCCCAGGAAGAAAAGCGCAATGTGAAAAGTTGAACCATAGGTTTTGAAACCCCAGAAGCCATATCTTCTATTATTGAGCTAAAACCAGCTAGGGGGGAAAAACCCATCTCATCAGTATGATTAGTAGCAGCAAAATGTTGCACAAGACCTAGGAAAGGAGTATTCAATTTGAACCAACAAATGTTATTTAAGCACTTTCGAGGTGCAAAGTGATACCCTCCATGCTGTGGGGACGTAAGGATGACTAAGAAGGGTTCTCTGCCCCCAAGTGGTTGGGGATCCAGGGGCTGGGGAGGCTTAGACGGAACCAGGTCAGCCTATACTAAGGAGCAGAGCCGACATTGTCTGCCTCCTCCCGGATGTTCGGGGATCCCTGTCACCATTTCTGTGCCCCTCCATCCGCTGATGTGCTTTTGCTCCCACTGGGCTGAACTAGTGTCTCTTCTTCCGTTGCTACCCCAGGGTACTATGTACAAATTTAGAGAGCAGCAAGTGCTGGGGAGCTTAATTCCTAGCAGTGACTGCTCAGTGTGGGAATAAAAAAAGCCCAGCTCCCTTTGCCTTAGAGCAGGACTTAAGTTAATGTCCAGGCTTTCCCTACCAGATCAGGCCGAGCTACTCCTAGGACTTTGCCTTGTCTTACATTCGCTCTGTCTCTTTTCCTTCCCTGTCCTACTTCCCTCATACACTTGCCAGTCTCTTCTGGGAACATCGCCTTAGTAACACCTTTGCCTACAAAAGCTCCTCTCAGGATCTTCTTCTGGGAACCTGACCTCAGACAAAGGGCATAATGATATAAACAAAATGCTGTGAGAGCAGGAAGGAGGGATTAATTCTGCCTGGCGATCAAGGACCTTTCCATAAAAGGAGGGGTATTTGAACTAGGCCTTGAAGGGTTATTTGGATTTTGCCAGGCAGATGGAATTGAGGAATGTCATGGTAAATCTGGGGAAAATACATACACATGCAGGGATAATGAAGGTGATGGTGGGGAGTGAAAGGTGATGAGGTTGACAAAGCAGTCTAGGAGTAACTGAAGAAGAGCCTTCAGTGTCATTAAAGAGTTTGGGCTTTTTAAAAATTGGTCAGGGTGAGGCATTTTCGATTTCCAAGCAGGGGAGAAATGATACACTTCTCTTTTAGGAGAGAATTGAATGGAAATATAAAGGATGGGTTGGAGGGATAAGAGATAAACAATGGAAACCACTTTGGGGGTCAATATTCCACGTGACAATGATGAGGGACTGACTTAGGGCAGTGGGTGTGAGAATGAAAAGGAAAGGATGGATCTAGAGATTAGACGAATGGACTTGTCAACTAACTGGCTCTAGGTGGGAAAATCAGAGTGATCAAGAGTGGCCAAAGTATTGGGTTAGATCAGAGGGTGAAGGACGGTACCATCAGTCAAGAGACAGAACACAGAGGAAAAAGCCAGATGGGGAAGAAATCAATGCGCTCATTTTTGGATGTGTTGAAATTGAAGGAGACACCAGAAAAAATCCTTAATAACTCAAAGACATTTAAATGAAATCGGAAAGTAACCTGAGAATAAACAACAAACAAATTTTGGGATATTCAGAGACCCATGAAATTCCAGTTCAAGGTTAGACCAAAGAGACACTTTTAAAAATTAGCTCTCTGGATAAGAATCAAACAAGAAAATCAACAACAGAAACTTGGACACCCTTTACGAATAAGAACACTTAAAATTCACTTGCGACAACAGAGCAATGCTTCAGTTTCAGTATGATTTTACTTTGATGATTAAAACTAGAGTGGGGAGTATATATGATTTAAAGATTAGATCTGATATGTTACATTTGTATGGTTTTTTCTATGGACTGTGAAATTCTATGGACCATGAAAACAGAGTCCTAAGACAATGGTGCTGAAAGAAGAAAAACAGTGCCTTTAGCATTCGCAGCCTATTACCTAATGTGACACATTGCTGGTGGAGGGACTGCTGGAGCACTAGTTCCATCAACGGAGAGTGGCCATTTCCTGGCCCTTAATTATTGCTGTTCATTTGCTTATGGACTTGCATTGACTTTTTACAAATAAATCAATGTGTCCACGTGGAAACTGGCATCCCTGCCTTGCATTATTTCAAGGAGCACACAATTAGAAAACAAGCACAAGTCCAAATTCTTTAAAAATGTTTCAGTTTGAGGAAAAGTCTACTCTATACAAGATACATTGTTTCAAAACCCAAATGAATTTTAGGGCAGCAGAGAGGCCTCAGTACTCTGTAACAATGTTACACTTAAACTCTTCTCTTTGAGAACACAATACTTAGAAACAATACTTCCTCCTCTCCTAGGTAGGATGTTAGGGTAACAGAAGCCAAGTTACCCATGGAAGTAAGAGGAAGAGAAGGTAGAAAATATAGAGGAAGGAGGACATTAGTTGTGTTTATTCATTTAATCTCTCTTCCTCCCTCCCTCTCTTCCTCCCTGCTCAGTCCCTCCCTTCCTCCCTCCCCCACTTCCAGGAATACTTGAGGACCTACTGTGTGCCGGGACTACTAGAAGTCAGAGATACCATACTGAACAGGGGAAACATACATGATCTCTACCGTTAGGGAATTTAGGTCTCTCATACTTGATTTCAGATTCCACATGTCAATAAAAGATAACTTCACTTGTTCTTCACTCCTGTTCTCTCTCACCTTCACATTGCATATTCAAGCACATTAGGTTGACCCATTTGTGGAGCACATCTGTGAGGCATGACTCAGCTAGGCTGCCTCCATTTGAAATTCAACTCTCTCACTTAATAGTTGTGTACATTTGGTCAAGTGACTTAACCTTTTTAACCTTCGTCTCTTCTTCATCTATAAAATATAGATAATAACAGCACAGACCTCACAAGACAGGTGTGAACATTACAAGAATTAATTCATTTAGAACTTAGAATGGGCACTGGTACACAGGGAGCAGTCCACTGATGTTACCCATTGTTATTTTTAGCACACACAGGAAAAAAATAGATGAAACAGACCATATCTTTCAAAGAGCTTACAGTCTTGCAGGTGGAGACAGACAGGTACACAGATAAAGGCAATAACGTGTGGTGAGTGGAATGATGAAGAAGGTATGTTTAGGTTATGGTGGGAGATCACAAAGAAGGGAGTGGGGAATTCTTTCGGTCAACTCTTTTGAGACAGATGTAATATCAACCCAAAGTAGTTTCTTATTTCCCTGACCCTTAGGTAAATGATCCCTCCCTATTAAATGCCTGTTTTGCTTGCTTTATTTGCCCATAGTTATTCCACTGTGGATAATTACGTTAGCACAAATGAAGGCTTTTCATGAGGGGTCATCGTGGTCCCTCTTTATTTACACTCTGAATAAAGGAGCTTATTGGTGAAACTAGGTTACGTTTTCCTGATTTCTTATGTTCGGTGGCAGATTTCTTACAGAAGTCAGAGTTGTTTGGGCCAAGGGAAAACAGGCCTTTTCTCACACCAGGAAGTGGTCTAATTCTTTTTGCCGTGACTGGCTAAGACACAGCCATATGATTTAATTCTGGCCAATGGGACCCAAGGAAGCTGGGGGTTCTGGGAAACATTTTCTCAATAATATGAGGCTAATGGGAGGAAACATCACTATTCTTCTCCAGACGTTGTTGGTATGCATGTGATGGCTGGTGTTGCTGCAGCCATTTTGTGACCTGGACGGGAGATATTGCTGACACCCTAAGGATGGAAATAAAGTGGACCCCTGAAGCCCTCCTTGTATTGCTGGATATACAGACTTGGGCCTTGATCCACCTCCAGACTTCTTATTGGGTGAGAAAATACCCTCCCCCCCCTTTTTATTGTTCCAGCTACTTTTAGTTGGGTTTTCTGTTCACTTTCAGTAAACTCCTTGTGGAGTTAATATGAGCAGCATGATGGGGCATTTCTGGGCAGAAGCTTCAAGAGACATGTGTGTGGCTTGCCATGCTCCCTCTCCCCTGCCCCCATGGTCAGGGAAGCATGTTGAGATGGAGCCTCTGCCAGCCTAGTTCCTCAATAAGTAGGCCTTCTGTGACAGACTTGTGGCAGGAACAAGAAATAAACCTTATCACTGAGCTGATGAAATGTGTTGTTATTGTTGTTCCCACAGATAAACCCAGTCTACTTAGACTGGTAAACATCCTAAACATTGTAGTGACTAAAAACAATGAAGTGGAAGCAAGAGCTTGAGATGCAGGCCCTGAACCCCAGGTAATGCAAGACTGGAAAGAACAGGCTCCCCGCTGCCCGCTCCACACACTTCCTGGTTCGTGAGATGAGCCTCAGAATGGTAAGTCATTTAATCTAAATAATGCTTTAAAAATGCCTTCACTTCAATGCATTATTCAGAGTAAATTAATCACAACGTATTAAGTGTCTCTTTAGCCTCCCTGACACTTGCCTCATCACTTTGCCCATCAAGTTTTTTTTATAATGACCTCACTCTGCACTCCCCTAACAACCCCCTCACCTAGACACCTACCTAGGAGTCTTTTGGGAATAGCTTGATAATCACGTAGCTGAAGTTTTGTGGCACAAATATGAAGTGAAGGTGACGTGTCAGTGGGGGACAGGAGAATGATGACAATGATAATTCATATTTATGTAGCACTTGTTCTAAACCAGATGTCATTCTAAGCACTTTATATATAGTAACTCACTTAATCCTCACCTTATGAGGTAGGTATTATCGTTATCGCTCCTTTACAGAGGAGGAAACAGGCACAGAGAAGTTAAGTGTCTTATCCAAGGTCATGCAACTAAAAAGTAATGACACTGGGGTTTTAGTCCAGGCAATCTGGCTCCTAACACTCCTAAAAGTGTTCTAACCATGATGCTTCACCAAGAGTGGGTGGGGAGGGGTGTTGTTTTGGGGGAAGCAGTTCTTAGAGAAGCACGAGGTAAAGAGCCTAGCTGAGCCTCACCTGACTTAAATCCTAGCTGGGTGTTGTTTTGCAACTTGCAAAACACATCTACATCCTGGTTTCCTCAACTGTAAGAAGGCGCTACTGGTAGCTCTGTCCCCTGCAAGGTAACTGAGGCAGGCAAAGACCCTAGTATAGAGCTTGCCTGCAAAACTACCCTCTGAA